TTTCATTTGAATACTATATTTTCAATTTTGCTCTAGAATTCAACGTATTCTTTTGAATTTTTTTTGTTATAGTCCGTATCCAGAAGGATTAAACTTATAAAGTGAAATATGTAATAATTTATAGATAAACACATGTAAATAATTAGTGAAATTTAAATATTTTTGAAATTGATTGATCACATATTTGGTTTACAGAATTTGATTATTATATTATCTAAATTTATATACATTCTACAATTTTTTAACAAAATGATAGTTTTTTATATAAATTTTTTTTATTCATGTCTTTATGAGTATTTTATACAAATACTATATATAAAAATCAAGATCGTATGTGACTTAAATTTTACTTTTAGTTTGTTCATAACTATTTTTTATCTTATCAATGAATGAAGTTCAAAATATTTTTAAGAAAATATATTTTCTAATATTAGTTGCATAGATAAAAAAATCTAGTACAAAATTGTCAATGGTGTGTCAAGATGAGTTAAGCTTGGCCTAAACTTACAAATTGTTGTATCTTTTATTGATATTTAATACCATACGTTACAAAATGTTCATATATAAGGTTAATTTTCTTTTCCTCAAGATATTTTTTTAAGTTTTAAAAAGTGTATTTATTGGACTGTTTTTTAAACTATTTTATGTGGATTATTTAAAAGTAAATAAAATTTTCTCGTGTTATCAAAATATTGATATACCAAACATGATTGAAAATTATATAATGACATTATGGCATATCGCCAATAAAAAAAACATCGAAACATCTTATATACCTTTTTAATTAGTTTATTATAGAATAATTTAATTTTAATATATGGTATACTCTTAGTATACTTGATCACAAAAAGACAAAACAACAAAAAAGGTTAAATATATATATTTTTAAATATGATAGTTTTCTGGAATTTCAAAATAAGAAAAATTTAAAGAATTGGAAAAGAGATATTGAAAAAATACAATTATCTATTATAGTATTGTTTTACATATTTTCAATTAATTTTTAAATATAATTATGAATTTGATGTTAATTAAATATTTACTTTAAGTTAATATATTGATATCACATTTTTATTCTAAAGAATCAATGCAAAAATTCTAAAATCTAGAAGGACAAGTGTCAAAATTAAGTAAAAATGAGTTACTTAAAATAAAAAATTGTTGGTCAAAATTGCCAAAATGCCACTTTTTATGTGCACATTTGCAAAAATACCATTTAGGGATGTTCATTTGCAAAAATGCCATT